ACCAGGCATGCAAAGCAGGAAAATCTTAACTCATAAGGAGGAAAGATAATCCTTTGAAATAGCCTGCATGTGACACCAATGGTAGAATTAGTAGACAAGGACATTTAAAGTTATTTGTTCAAGAAACTAGAAGACAGAGTGAACATGTTGACTAGAGATGAAAGTTAAAAAACCCACTAGGATGTCTAGAGATTAAAGCTCTATTTCTGAAATGAATATACCAGATAAGGATTCACAGCAGAATGAGCATTGCAGTAGGAATGATAGGTGAACTTGATTATATAGCAATAGTAATTTCTCTCAACTCAGAGAAAAAAATGAATAGCATAAGTGAGCTTTGGAATAACTTCACATGCCAAATACACATTTAGGTGAAAGTCCTAAAACAGCAGTGGAGGGAGTATGGAAAACAGATTTGAAGACATGTAATAGTGTTTCTGTTCCATAATGGCAGAGGGACGCATATTGGATGACCCCTTCTGCCATTAACAATTATAAGTTCTTGGAAATAATAATTTTTTTAAAACTGTTTAGCAGCAAACAAGAAAGTAGTAGGCAGAAACTGTAGGGAATACAAAGTTTGAATGAATGGAAGCAAACTGGAGATGCTCTGCAGTTCACCAGCTTTTTCCTAGCGCACTTGTTGGTTTACCTTAGAGTATTGTAAAAAGCTTGAGCAGAAAGTAATTTTTTTGCTAGGATGAAAACACAGAAGTCAAAGTTTAAGGCTACCAAAGCATCTGTAATTTGAAAGGGGAGCTTCAGAAGGAAGAATGTCAAGAAGGTGGAGCCTCAAATTCTCTTTACAGATTTCTAAATCCAACACTCTGCTCCAAGAAACTCAAGAGAAAACAACTTCAGGAGGATGAAAGAACTGAGCAGATATTTGAAGCTACCTAGCACTGAGTGTTCACTGTAAATACTGCTGTACTAGAGAGATTGATACATACCTCAAATTTTGTGTTGCAACTGCTAAAGAACCACAGTTTAGGATCAAGGATTGCTCCAAGACCAAGGGCTAAACTAAATCTTCTCCAGTACAGCCAGTATTCAAACTATCATATGATCAAGAGGAAGAAGACAGAAAGTGGAACTGTAATCAACAGAAGAAGCATTAGTACAAGCAGACCGGTAAATGACCCAGATGTTTGAATTGGCAGTTCAAGACTTTACGGTGGAATAAGATATTAAAGGAGTCAGAGGAAAAAATAATTGAATACACGAGGAACTGTCAGCATGGGAGTAGAAACTGAAATAAAACCAAGTGCAAATTCTAGAGCTAATAAAAATCTAAAATGAGATTTTCCTTAGATGTCAGTATTATTAACAGAGAAAAAATATTACCCCTAAGTTCAGTAGAAATTATTGTAACTGAGACAAAGAGACAAAAAAGATTAAAATGTACAGCCTTTGGGGACCTGTGGAGTAATAGCAAGAAGCTTGATATGTGGAGTGTGTGTGTGTGCACACATGTGTACATGTGCAGTCATGTATGTATTTAAAATTCCAGAAATGAGGGGAAAAGAACGAATGTAGTCTGGAGAAATTGGACCTAATAATGTCTGGTATTTTCCCAAATTTGGTGAAAACATTAACCCATAGATTCAAAAAGTCTAGCAAATTAAATACAAAAACCACATCCAATCACTTGATAGTCATAGTGAACCTGCTGAAACCAAACACACAGTTCTTTAAAAGAACCAAAGATAAAACAACAGGAGTGATGGCTGACTTCTCATTTTTAGAAAATGGAGGCCACTGGACAATAAAGTGGCACCTTTGAAGTGCTAAAAGAAAGGTAACGTGGTGCATTGTATATTGCATAACAGTCCCAGCCTGGGCTCAGGCAACATCTCATAACCATATGCTCCTGTGAGATAGATAAAGACTGCACTGTATGTAGCCTCAACGCGTGCAGCTCAGTTTAGGTTTTTCTGCCAGAAGTTTAGTTGTTTTGCTTTGTTTTTCAAAGCAATCCTTTTGGTTTTGTAACTTCTTTGATTTTAGAATTATAGGAAAAGTTTTTGGACCCATCTTGTTAAAAGAAAACTTAGTAATAGGTATTGTTAGATGTTTACACTCCTTTGAAGCAAGGACTTATAAGAATCTGTCCAGTGGAAATATTTAAGTTTGTGTACCAAGTATTGTATACCAGGATGCTTATGCTAACGTTTTTAATAGTTAAAAAAAAAAAAATAGAAAACTACCAAAATGCCCCAATAGCTCACATTTGGTTAAATTAGTTATAGCATGTTTTACACAATGAATGAACTGCTTTGTAGCTATGCAGAATTATATTGTAGAAAAATATTGAATGAGGGCTGGGGATGTAGCTCAGTGGCACCATACCTGCCTGGCAAGCACAGGTCCTGAGTTCGATTCCCCGTATGGGAAAGAAAAGAAAAAAAAAATTGAATTGAATGGTGAAACTAATATACATAACAAGGCTGTTTCTTTAAATAAAGGAAAGCAAATTGATTGCTAAGGAAGGTTGTTTTTAAACTTCTGCTCAGATTGCTTAAGTCAGGAATCATTTTATTAACAAAGATCACCAAAGTTCAGCACTATTAAGCTCCATATATCTTCCATTTCCCCAGACCTGGTGTCTATACACCTGGATTTAAAGTGTCTCTTTTAAACTACACTGCCTGAGGCATTTCCAGAAGGAATCCTGTTAAATGAAAAATAAGCCCTTTCAGGAGGGATGCTGAACCATTCCTGTTGCCACATCAAACACTCTGACTTAATCTCCAGAGAACAGCCTTCTCAGATAAATTGTCCACCACCACATCTAGTTCTTGGCTTGTTTTTAAACATCTGCAGATTCTTTCATGAGGTCATTTTTTAAAGCTTAAATATCTACTTTGCTTTGGAAATCTATTTTCTCCCCTTTCAAAAAGAGCATAGCAGGAGTTAAAATTGGATCACTTTTTGCAAGCTACATCATACATCTGGAGTGAATTCCAGAGTATTAATGTCACACAGTATGTTACAGCAAGGACTGTCAAGTTTAATTTTTGCAGACCTGCCAAATCTGAAAGGGCAGTCTGGACAGCCAGCAGTTTTGATCTTTGAGCTGAGGTATGTTTTCTGAAATTTTTTCTTAAAGTCAGAGGGGAAAAGCAGAAAAGCCTGGTCCTATTTGAATGGCAGTGTGACCGTGATGGGAAACATCTTCATCTTCTACACTGTAGGCTTTTATACTTTTATACTTCAGAGTTGGGAGAGGCCTGAGACCTTGAGTGCATTTGCTCTCCAAGTACTTAGATTTCTTCTCCATTCTTCTAGACAGATAGTAGCTATTGAATTACTTATAGTCCTAATTATATTTTTCTGTGTAAATTAATAAGTAGATATTCTAATTTCATATATTAGTCTATATACTAATACTGGCAAGAATTCACTACTGAAACTATGTGAACTTGGAATTTTTATTGTGGAAAGATAGTTTATGAAAAATTTAGTTTGTTTAATAGATAAAAGCTGTTTATAATTTTTTATATCATCTTGGGTTCATTTTGTAAATTTTGTTTTTTAAAAAAATGTGTCCTTTGCATTTAATTTGTTATCAATTTTCCTCGTCTTTTTCAAGAACTACCTTTTGGATTTGTTAGTGTTTTCTGTTTTGATTTCTAATGCATTGACTTCTAATTTTCATTTCCTTTCTTCTACTTAGTTTGGTCTTATTTTAGTCTTTTTCTAGTTTCTTAAGTTGGAAACACAGACTCTTTCCTGTTTTCCAAGATAGCACATACAGTCATAAATTTCTGTCTAATCACTGTTTTAGCTGCATCTTACAAATTTCTTAAAATGCTTTTTGAGGTAATATGGTGATTAATATAAACCATAAATAAAGAGTACAAATTTGACAAATGTACTTACCTATCCATGAATCTATCTCCATATTCAAGATAATGGCCCTATCCATTACCACCAAAAATTTTCTCAGTTCCCTGGCAACCACAGATTAGCTTTTTGTCACAGTATATTAGTTTGCATTTTCTAGAATTTTGGATAAATGATGCTATAAAATATTTATACATTTTGTCTAACTTCTTTCTCTCAGCATAATTATCTGAGATTCATCCATATTATTGTATCAAGAGTCCATTCCTTCTTACCTCAGCAAGAAATGCTGCCCATTGCTTACTTTTGCCTGAGTTGTTCAGAGTACCACCAAGGCTCTGTATCTGTTCAGTTCTGTACCATTTGATTAAAACCAGCTTGGGGCCAGGGATTTGGCTCAGTGGTTCCATCGCCTGCCTTGCAAGCCCAAGGACCTTAGTTCAATCCCTGGTACCAAAAACAACAACAATAACAAAAAAAAAAAAAACCCAGCTTGGCCCACCTCTTCCATTTTTATTACGAAAAAAAAAAAAAAAAAAACCCAGCTTGGCCCACCTCTTCCATTTTTATTACGAAAAAAAAAAAAAAAAAAACCCAGCTTGGCCCACCTCTTCCATTTTTATTACGAAAAAAAAAAAAAAAAAAACCCAGCTTGGCCCACCTCTTCCATTTTTATTACGAAAAAAAAAAAAAAAAAAACCCAGCTTGGCCCACCTCTTCCATTTTTATTACGAAAAAAAAAAAAAAAAAAACCCAGCTTGGCCCACCTCTTCCATTTTTATTACGAAAAAAAAAAAAAAAAAAACCCAGCTTGGACCACCTCTTCCATTTTTATTACTGTAATCATATTTTTGTCTTGGCAAACTACTGACTTCTTAATCTCTATGAAAACTGTGAGGGAACTGAACATAGATCTACTCATGTTCCTTTGAAAATGTTTCTATCACCTATACCAATTTAGTATTTTTGTTTGTTGTGTTTTGTTTTGTTTTTTTGCAGTGCTGGAAATCAAACCCTGAGCCTCACACATGCTTAGCAAGTACTGTGCCAGTGAGCTACACCTCAAGCCTAGTTGAATTATTTAAATGTGGATCAAAAAAACCTCGGTATATCTAAAAAGATACTGAAATTTTTTTTTGCCCTTTTTTTCCCAGGTAAAACTGTCTCCATCCTGCCATCCATCCAAAGGGGATCCTGCTTCTAAGAAGGTGAGTTTTAAAGTTTTTTTAAAAATAAAGCAAAGCCATTTCCTCCTTCTGTGTATTTACTCTCCTCACTTGAACAATCTCAAAATGGCAAAAATATTTAATCATCTTAATACTGTCAGAAGTTCATTCTGATTGGATGCTTTAATGACATGTTGCCAGGACTGCTTGGTTGTTCCAGAGAAGCCAAGTGGGGTTTGGAGCCCAGCAGCACCAGTCTCCTGGCAACTGAGGACTGTCAGTATTCTAGAATTCCCATCCTCTGTACCAGGTATTGATTGCATCCTGGTGCCAGTGAGAGGTATTCTAAGGGAAAATGATAGCATCTTTTTTAATAATGTACTTTCCCTCTGGATAGCTATGTCTAAAACGCCCAGCCAGAGATACAAATACTTCAGCACATGCTATGTAAGAAGTCCGTAAATACCTGTGGACCAAACCCTCCATCTGGCTACTTCAGTTCCTTCCTGTAAACTCTGCGGTGTAGACAGGCTAAGAGTCCTTCATGTGAGCAGTGCTCACATCAGGAGAACCGCTGAAATCCATTTCTCTCAGCTGCAACACTGCTGCCAGATCTCGTAAACAGACTGATATTTCTGTGTTTTCTCTTACCATTTTTCCTTCACTGATAGTTAAAACATTTTCTTCCTTTCCTATTTTTTTTGCAGTTTCAGCCAGCATCCGTGTCAGCAAAGGACTGTAGAACAAAAATAACAACTTGCTGGCCTTGTTGACTAACAGCGGGTTTTAGCTTCAAAGCTGTGTGCCAAAATAGGTCCCTTTTCTCTGCCTGTAGAATCCCCTGAGACTTTTTTCACAAGCAGAGGATCAAAACAAAATATGTTGTCTGAATAGCCAGCCCTGTAACATGCTGTACACGAAAATCTCTTGCACTCTTGTCAAGGCAGCAAGGACAGACAAGACTGAGGCCGTGGTTACTGCCATTCAGAGCCATCACACCGTAATGTGAGGAGCCCACATTCCTCAGCTTCACGTTACTCCAGTGCATGCGTGCTGTGGGCTACTTATGAAAAAATCTTTGTTTATTTATGGTCTTAGAGTTCCAAGATCTGGTGGCCCCATGGGTTTGGGCCTCTGTTGAGAGTGGTGCAGGGTGGAGTTGGTGGCCCCAGGTGGCATCCTCAGTGCCTGAGTGATCAAGTGGGGACTTGAGCCCTTTCTGTACAAGAGTCAGGACAATCTCTAAAGTATTTATCCAATCTACATATCTTGAATATCTTTTAATCAATGAGAATTCATTTCTAATATACACAATACTGATTGTGCCACTAATTGAATGAATTAAAAGAGTTTTTTGAGCTAATTTGCAAAAACTTAAGTATTGGTCAACAAATGAAGAACTATAGGGCTTTAGTTGGCCACTCCTGAAACAAGGATTCTTAATTAGGGCCACTGACCGCCCAAGTTGAAGCCAGTCTAAATAGCACGTGTTTATTGTCAGGCTGTTAATGGTACCTGTAATTCCTGATGTGTGTACAGTAACAGATGCCTGTGCCAGTGCAGGAGGTCAGTGAGGGCTTCCCAGAGGAGGGAGAGCTTGATCGGTCCTTCACGGTCGCCCAGGCAGATGTGGTGAATGCAGCTCAGTGCAGGGGTGAGTGCAGCACAGACAGGCTCTGTGTGTCCTAGGTATAAAAGCGTGAGGAGGTCTGTCGAGAGATGAATGGGGCTCCAGATCACAGAGAGCCCCAGTCTGTGAAGTTTGCTTTTTATGTTGTGGATAAGGATTTCCACTAAAGGTAAGCGTAAAGGCAAAAAGGGCTAATTTGAAAAATAAGTCAGTTGTCCAGGCAAGAAAAAAGTTCCTTACCCTGGGCTATGTTAATGGATGGAAGAGATCAGTTCAATATTAGCTACGTTTCTCATTACATCAAGTGCCTCCTGAGAGCAGGAACCACATCAGTTTTGCTTGCTGTTGTCTGTCCAAGTACAGAAGGAGGCGGTCACTCAGTTGTTCTTGAATGCATGAATGAGGGGATGATGAAAGAGATCCCGCAGAACTGTGGTTGTTGATGGGAACTGAGGAGAGAAGAGGTTTCTGGCAATGATAACTAGGAGAAAAGCAACTGAAACATTGTTGCCGGCTCAGCCAGTATTCCCAGCTTGGCTAGTGTCCTACCCTTTGCTCTGAATTGGCAGTATTTTGAATGAGATCTACGTGAAAATCAGTGTGAAACTCAACACCTCACATATGTTTGTGTGTGTGTACGTGTATATATAGTGTGTGTATACATGTGTATATGTGTGTGTGCGTGTGTGCTCATGTATATGTACATCTACCGTGTGCCACATCTACCTCTCTATTCTGGTTCTCACCCTTGAGCTAGAGTTTCTTTTCCCAGAGTTGCGCTGACAGATGGAAGCAGTGTGTGTTGAACAGTGACTGCCAAAGTGACAGGAGTAAGAAACACAAAGGAAGCGGCAGTTTGGTGATCCAGCCAGAGTCCCTGTTGACCCATAACTGAAGGAAGTGTTTGCCGACGCTGCTATCACCACCAGCCCTGCCAAGAGCTGCTTTCACTTGCTCAGGAAGCAGGAGCGATGCTCTGAAGGGCTTTGCTAATTTCCTGGGACACGTGTCTCACGTAGCAGTCTCTTTTGAGAACATGACTGTCAGAGCGTATGACACCTTCCACCCCATGTATCTTTTCACAGCAGTTTACAAAATTTATATGTAATATCTTATGTATAGAAAATTTGTTTTGGTACCAGGGATCAGACTCGGGGGTCGTTGCATTTGTGAGGCAGGCAAAAGAGCCACTGAACTAAATCCCCAGCCCTAAAATGTATTTTTAATGGGCTCTGATAACTTTACTAGTAACAAAATTAGAAGATATACCTGCTTCCCCAGGTTAGAAGATACACCTACTTCCCCAGAACCTTTTCACTGTTTAATTATGGATGACCACAAATTTAAAAGTCAGGAAGCACTGCCATTAGATGAAAATTGACCCGGTGGCCCACTACAATTGGAGCTCTAGATCCAAATAGGAGGTATGGACAGTGGTTGAGGTGGATGAAAGGTGTTAGATGATGGCAGCATCAAAGACTACTCGCCTTTGATACATCTTTGCTCGGCTGTTGAAGAAACACCCACCAGGGATTTTTATATTAAAAGTTGGGTGTCGTATGCATACTCACCAAAGATAGCATTTTGACTTAAAGGTTATCTCTGAAGACTGGTCCCTTCTGAGACATCTGCTGGTGTTGATTAGCTTTCCGTAGTCTTGTCTGCACTGTGACAAAAGACTCCTCAGGCCAGTGGTGCCACTGGAATGTCCACACTTGTTTCCTCAGAGTAACTTCGGCTTAGGAACAAAGTACAGGCAATGAGAGAGCGGAAAACTTTTCCAACAGTTCTGTGGTTCCATCCAGTAAATATTCAGCAATCCTCAGGTGCCAGGCTTTGGAGGGACTGAGGTTAGTGAAATATATAGTTCTTCTATTGGCACATGTGCACATTGCTGGTGACTAAACCAGTGGATTTATAGCCAGGCTATAGAGAAAAGTGGTCTTCAGTTTCTCAGATATTCAAGTATAAGAATTCATTCCCAACAAGAATCAATAAGAGTAGCTATTGCTCTACGTCTTCACTAGAACTTGTGTTGTCAGTGTTTTGGATTTTAGCCATTCTAAAATGATGATATCATCTAATGATATCACACTTCTTTTAAATGTGCAGTTCCCTAATGACATGATGTTAAGTATCTTTTCATCTGTTTGCTATCCTTATGCCTTTTTATGAATAATTAATGATTTTTCAGAAATAATGTTCTTTTTAGGTTCTTTGTTTTTGTTTTTTAGTAGTGCTCAAGTGTTTTCCGCATATATTTTAGCTTCTGTTTTAAACTAGCTTAATTCCAGTTACACACTGAAACATTATTCTTACCCTCTTTTGTGGTATTATTGTTATGCATAATACATTTATTAATGTTACAAACTCAACAATATGTTGTAAATATTACTTTATTATATCCACTGTCATTTGTTTATATTAGTAAATCTTTGTTTCCACAAATCTCTTTTGTGTAGATATAATGTGTATGTGGGGGTATGTGTATGTGCGTGAACATTTCTATGTGATTTTTGGCCCAAAATTCTATTGTACACATGTAATACAGTTCCTTTTTTTTTTTTTTCTCCTTTTTCCTGTTGGTACCAGGGATTGAACTCAGGTCCTTGCACTTGTGAGGCATGCGGTGGCACCACTGAGCTAAATCCCCAGCCCTACATGGTTGCTTCTCCTGCCACCCTCGCAAGCACAAGGGCCCGAGTTTGATCCCCGGTACCAAAAAACAAATAAATGAAATAAAATAAGGTAAAATCAGTAATGAGAAAAAGAGGAGCTCATTTGTACAGTGTTTTACAATTCCATGATTACATTTTTCACTTCTCCCTAGTTTTTCATGTGGCTTTGAAGTGGCTTCTGCAGTCATTTGCTGTCATGCAGAACTTCTTTTAGTAGTTTTTGTCAAGCAGGTTTGCTCACAACAAATTCCCAGTTTTTGCTTATCTAGGAAAGCCTTTGTTTCACCTTCATTTTTGGAATATAGCTTTGCTAGATATAGAATTCCTGGTTGTCAGGTATTTCTTTTGTCTTGTTTTAACATTTTGTTATCCACTGCTTTGTGGCCTCATTGTTTCTGCTGTTAATCTTACTGGGATTCCTTACAAATGACTAGTCTTTTTTTGTCATGGTATATTCTAGATTTTGAGTCATTTACATTCAGCATTTTTGTTATGATATGTATTGTGGATCTCTTTTATTTTATCCTACTTAAAATTCATTGCACTGCCTAAATGTCTAGGTTATTGTTTTTCAGTAGACTTAGGAAGTTTTCAGGTATAATTTCTTCAAATGTTTTTGTCTCTTTTTCTATGTTCTTTACTCTCATTAAATCATGTGTTATTATGTGGTACTGCTTCACATTTCTTCTCTGAAGCTCTGTTCATTTTTCTTTTTTTCTCCCTGTTCATCAGCT